TTAAAATTTTTTAAAAGAATTTGAACCACCTATAAGATTTGCACAATATGAAGGCATGGATTTAAAATTCTTTTATGCAAGTTACCGTAATGAAGTCATTCAAAAAGTCTAATTTCTTGCTTCTTTGCTTCCAAAAAAAAATATCTTTATCCATTCAGATCAATTGTGATCCAGAGGTGCGCTAGGGCGTTTCGCAGCTAATGAGAGTTTAACGAGTGAGGATTCGCCAAACCACTGCACTCAAAACTGGATCTACAATTTATAGTGGGATCTGAACCACTCCTTTGTTGACATTTCTGCCTATACCACTGATGTAAAGTGGTAGATATGAACTGGCATTCTTAAATCTGATAAAAACTTCAATTGTGCGGTCAAATCAAATTTAGAACCATGCAGAGACTTGATACTTTAAGATATTTTGTTCATTAAACTGGACAAAAGTCGCACATCCATGAGTAATTCTCTTACTTACATTTCCATTACTTTATACCAAAACACAATATCATTGTTAGTGGAAATAATAATAATAATGTAGCAAATAATGAGTGTCATCAAAAAAATGGAAGATTCATGTAAATTTGGAAAATAAAAGATATTTTTGTGCTGAGGAAATAATTTTCATTCTTCTTATTCCAACCACTGCTGCTCACGACTGTTTATCGTCCAATATTACGTAAGTTCCATTAAAACTTTTTATGAATGTAACAAGGAGACATTAAGAATTGTAAGGTTTTTCTTCGTACCAACAAAATAATTTCTCATTTTTCTCTTCACATTTTCTCCTTTTCTTGTCAAGTGCTTCTGATTCTATTTTTTTCTCATTTATTTGTAAACGATGAAAATCAATTTACGATACTGAATAAAGAAAGAAAAAAAAATATCAGGTTTCATTTGACATGTAAACAATTTTCTTCTCCTATTTCGTTGACAATTTCTTTTTATTATTTTCATTCTTAGCGTTCTTTCAGTCGTGTTCTCGCGTCTGTTTTTTTGATAAGGAATGAATTGAATTTCGTCGAAAAATAAAAAAATTTATTCAATGATGAATTTTAAAATTTATCTGTGCGTATTTTCAGTGGTTTTGATGAATTGAATGAATTTGGATGAATCCATATGAAAGTTTTATTTGGAAGACGATTGTAGGAAGATTTTCGATTAACTTTCTCAGCAGTGGTGTCAATAAAGAAGCTGCATAACTGATTAAATCGTCAAAAAAAAAAACTTTAGCTATTCAGATCAATGTGACACAGAGCTACGCTAGGGTGATAGTTTAACGAGTAAAACAGTGAACTCTAACCTAGACCTACAGTTTAAAGTGGGATCCAAACCACTCCTTTGATTACATTTCTGAATGTAGCTTCATTTCTAGTTCATATGATTTGAAAAATATACCAAAGTCCGAAACCATTCCAAAAAATGAGCCATTGCAGCTCAATAAATCGATCAAAAAATATCTAAATTCATCAAAAGTCACATAATCAGTTTCGCGCCCTTGGTGTAGTTTCTTGCTGTTGTTTCAATTACTGTCTTTTGTTTTATAGATTTTTTTATTTTTTTTTTCGATCATCTAAAACACTCATTAAATTTTATTGTCATTAATTATCGTCTAATTACGAAGCAATCAAATTTAATTTGTCATTCCAACACTCAGAAGACTCTCGTAGCATAATTTTTCCCATGTTTGTCTACTTTTTTCTACAGTAAGATTCAAGCTGCATGAAAAAGGAGCAAAAAATTTATAAATTACATGTAATTAGTAAGATTGATGGGAGGAATGAGTGCCTATTTTGTCTACTACATCTTATGTCTTTTCAATAGACAGCTCAATAAATGAATAAATGGATGTTTAATGTTCGATCCAATAAAGGGAATTAAGGAACAACTTATAATGATTGACATAAAACTGTATTTTTTTGTTGTTGGCTGTTTTTGCCTATCTATGAGGAGCTAATTAATATGGAAAATATTTGAAATGTTTAATTTTTAATTCTCAATGAACAATTTTTAACTTCATTAAAGCACAAAGGACAAAGGAAGCGTCATTTTGTTTCCATATTTTACTGCTAGTTCTCATGCCAATGACTTGGGATAGAGCTTTTCTTTTTCATTGTGAACCTTTTTTGATAATGAAAGCGTATGTTAATTTTCAATTTAAACATTTTTGATGTCTTTAGTACTAAGTTAAGGATTTAAAAAAAATATTGTTAATTTTGAGAGTTTTTAATAATTTGGGAGGCTCGAGTGTTTCAGTAGAGTTTATATATGTTCAGTTATTACATTTGTAAATAGATCGTCTGAGTCTTTCCTGTTCTAGAATCGAAAATTAATCCCGAATAGCACAAGTCGATTAATCAATTAATCGCTTTTCTGGGATGTACTTTATTTTGGTATGTAAATAAAATTTTACCATGACTAGGGTTTGCTAGAAGCTGATGTAACAATTTAACTCTCAACACCTCTTTTTTTTAAAAATAATTCAATAGAAATCGTTCCAATCATGACGATAGCATCAAAAATTGAAGAATTTAAAAGTTGGTGAAAATATTCGAAAATTTAAATAAAAATAAAGCGTTCATTTTAACTCACAACATATATATTTATATACTTCTAGGAAGACTAATAGTGAAAACAAACATTTTTACAACCTTATTCCTATTGTTCTAATACTTTCAATCATATACTCCATAAGCAAAAGTTTTAATAGTCTACATTAATTCTCAGAAAATTTCAGCATTGTTCCCTACAAAAAGCTCTCGAATCTTCGCACTAACATATCATTAATAAAACAAAAATAAAACTCATTAAAGCACGTGCAAATATGAGCACATTTGATTACAGAAAAACTTTTACTACACGAGCAATTTTTTTTAAAAACTAAAGAAACTTTTTCCTATCATTAACACTCGAAAAGCAAATTTAAATAAACTCTCAACATTAAATTAAATTAACAATGAAATCAATTAAGCACAAACTCGAAAATGAATATGTGACAACCAAAGTTTTTTGTTGGTGAATTTTTTAATTGACATTGAGAATGATTTAATTATAACTAACGAGATGAGATTTTAATTTAAAATTGAACGAATGTAAAAAATTTGAATTTTATATGAACTGAATTTTCGTAGTTGTAGTCCCCTTTTGTTTATTAACAACAATAAATCTAAATTTATCGAAATTAATCAAAATTGCCAAAATTATGAGTCTTCAAAAAAAGAATTAATTCCTGCTAATTTCTAAACTTTTTAGTCTTAAACATTATAAAAAGCTTAAAATTTTCAGCTAGCATTCTTAGTTGATCTTTTGACTTTCTAGGTTTTTTAAAGCATCTTCAGACCACAAGATACATAATAATGCACTTAACTATTACAATCGTGACATTCTTTTATTAAATTCCATTTATAAGAACCTTAAAAAAACTTTCGACTATGTTCAAAATAATTTTCATACCTACACACAATCTCATGACAATAAATATAACAGTAAAAATTGTAACAAAGTTTTACATGCTCTACAAAATTGTTTTTCACACAAATTAAATTTTCTCAAGTTTTATGACACTCTCGTGAAAGTAAAAGTTTGTTCCTCTTTTTAGATGAAACAAGAAATGCAATTAAGATTTTTTTTTATTCTTTGAAAATGTTTTATGTGGTGAATGCATTAAGTTTTTTCTACATTTTATAGAAAACCATGCATTATTCTCTCATACAAGAGCATGGAAAAGTTTCGTTTCCTTTAATGAAATTGTAACTCATTTAACAGGAAAAGTGCTATGGAAAATTTTATTCTTCCGCTTTTAATTCACTTTTTTTACCACGCAATCCTTTTGATGTATTAAAATTTAAATATAGTGAACTGCACAAGAGATATTCAAAAGAATTAATGGATTTTGTGGTTTTGATTGCTACACACAGTGTAAATAAATATGGTAAAAAAAATAATCGAGTTTTCGTTCATTCACATTTGATTAAAACTCAGAAGCAGAGATGGAAATTTGGTGATTTTTGGAGCAAATTAATGGTTTTTTGCAAATTTATAAATTTTGAGAATCTTTGCTAATGATATTAAGTTGTTTTCTGCATAAATGAAAATACTTTTTAATATTTCTTGCTCAATTTTCTTTGGATTAATTTTGAATAGTTTAAAAATCATACAAAAACAAAAAGTCCAAGCAGCTCCACATGTGAAGATACAGAAAATATTCAACGATATTTTTAAAAAGAAAAGCAGCAAAGCTCCATCTGTTAGCAGACATTCGTAGTTAATTTTTGTTCATGTACTAAAATATTTCAAATGCTGTGTTTTTACTGTCTCAGAATCATTCACTTATTTTTTAAAGATAATTAGGTGTAGTGTATTTTGTATCTCGGGAAGAATATCTTTCAAAACCGGAAATACTTTATTGTTCTTGTTCTTATAAATTTAGAAATTTCGAACGATAGCTTTTATCATCTTAAATGTTGACTTATTGACTATATTTATTGATTTTTGATGCACTGGATATTGAAATGATATGATTTTTATTTATATAGACAGATCGATTTTGTCTCTATAGACGGATCGAATTCTTGCAACTGAGCACATATGCTTGACCAAGGGTATGTCAATACAATGTACCTTGCCTCAGTTTGTGCATCGCAAATCGCTTAAAACCGAGTTGCCATGATTTGGACAGCGAAAAAGCACCCAAATCTGAATAAACATTCCAAGGGATCGAACCAGGGTTGTTAGGGATTTTTGGTCAACACTCTAACCACCACGTCACTGCTGCTTTTTCGTTGCTTAGTGCAAAACTGATCAAATAAGACCAAAAATTTTTTTACATATGATAAAAAGTCAAACAGTAATGAACAATTTTAACTGCTCCCTTAAAATTAATTTTTATAACACCTAAGAATGTAAAATCCACTTCACAATATATCAGAGATATCCACATCGATTAAAATTCCTGATTGTTCTCAATAATTTCAATAATGTCTCAAAAATACTTTCTGATTCGCATACAAAAGGCCACTTGACACAAAGTGAGTGATTAATAATAAATTTTAATCACTCGGCGTCATGCAAGTGATAAAATACATTCGCAAAAAAGTCAAAAAAAAAAATAACGCGCAAAGGAACTCCTTTTTAATCTTATCAATAAAAATTCTTTAAAGGCAATTTTTATATTTAAACCTCATTCGTGTTCAAGTTTCTGATAATGATAAAGCAATAAAAAAAAAAGTTTAATTTTATTTCACTTTCATTGCCCAAACAGTTGAGTTTGTGAAGTTTGTCGTGAAGGCAGTGAATCGCAATTAATTATTGACAGGTATTGAAAGCAATTTATCAAAATAATAATTGCAAAGTGCTAGAAAAGTCTTATTATTCATTAATCGATTGAGTTGAGATGAATGAAAAAAGTGTCAAGCAACAACGTGCAAATTTTTATTTCATCAATTGACTTTACAAGTGTCCGTGCATCTACGTAAACCGACTGTGAAAAGACAGCCGTTTATAAATTTTTAATATTATTGTTTTCTATAAAAGTAAGTGACGTATATAAGCATGAATAAGATGTTGTGTGTTTATTGTCTTATCGGTATTTAATTAAATATTTATAAAAGTGGCTGACTAGATTAAGTTGGATCAAGATAAAAACAGGAATATCACTTCTTTTGATAGTTTTATATTTAAATGTGTAATTTGATATCTTTTGATGGTAATTTATGGAATTTTAAAATACGCAAATCGACTACCATTCTGGATTTATTTAAATCCTTCACTTTTAATTTATGACTATTGCTAAAAATGGGTTTTTATAGCGTATGGCTAAATTTCGTTTAAATTTTTTTTTTGTAAAATATTTGCAGCTTTAAGACAAAATAGAAAAGAAATTTGTTTGCAAATAATTGTCTCTAGCACATGACTTTGGCGTAAATTCATTTGAGATAAGATATCATTTCGTAGAAGGTTGCATTGTATACTATTTATAAGTTTTTCTTTTATTGAGGTATTGAAATAATTGTGTTTTTTATGGTTCAGGGGAGTTCAACCAGTTGTTTTTTTCATGTTATTTAATTTTGGAATTTTAAAGTACTTTGATTGATCGATTCTAAGTTTTTAACTTGAAATTTCATTGTCTATACGAATCGTTCTTGTTAAATCAACTTTGATCCAACTGGAAAATGACTTAGTCCACTCGAGTAACCTCAAATTAATTTGATTGAATTTGTGTCGACTTCGAGCTTTAAATTGAATTTAAACGAAAGTCAAGGCTAAGCCTAGATAAGCTTCAAATCACTTAAAAATCCTCAAGTTATCCTCAAACTAAGCTTATTCGCAAGAAAGATTAATTATATTATATCAGACTTATTGACGATACCTGTGGCATCACTATCAGTTTTTAATCGAAATCATCATACCTATCAAAATTAGATAAAACGCATAAGCGTCATTTATGAAAGAAAACCTAAAAATACATTTTAAGGGAAACGTGACATTAACCATGAAAAAAAAAATCCTTTAAACTTTTCTGATTAAATATGATTCAAAGCTGCGCTATGCGTATGGCTTAAGAAACTTTTGTATAAAGTCGAGTTGACTTTGTTCGAATAGTTCAAGTTTTGACAAATTTAGAGTTAACACTAACGACCAGTCGCCTTCCCAACAAAAAGCAATATTATTTTTCACCCAAGAATGCGGACACAAAAGCGCACAATTCAAATCACCCAAAAACCTTAATCGCTATTTTTATCATTTTTCTGTCTAAAATAAGAAACCTCTCGAGCGATCCTATCGTCTTAATTAGGCACTCCAGTTAAAAATAAAATATTCGCAATTTTAATGCGCATAATGTGATAACTGCTGTGAAAACGTAAAAGACAAAAATATTTAAAATCGTGCATCACGTGTGATTATTTTCAAACAAATCAAATTTTACACAAATAACATACGCAACAGGAGGCCAATAAAGATAGTAGAAAACACGGAATTTACTTTTTATCAAAACAAATGTTTAATGTTCTCTTATCAATCAAAGTTCGTCGTATTGTCAGCCTATCGTCACCTTCACACAAATTATTTAAGGCATTTTCTTCAATTATAGTGTTTGCCTAACACTACAAATTTTCAATTAGCCTACAAGTGCTGCTTAGCATAAGCACAATAGCAATTTTGTATATTTTTTTTCTTTCCTATTCCCCGTTCTTCTAAAGCTATTCACGTTCATTGTTGAAGTAGAAAGAAACATACAAAAAAGTCCTCGAACTAATCTTTCAATTGCAAATTGCATGTCATGCATGTGCAACACTCTTTTTTGTCTCTTAATATGCATTTAAGATGAGAAGCTAATGAAGTGAACATTTTTTCTATTTAATTTTCACAATACATAAGAAGATTAGATTTCGGTGGCTTTTGATCTCTCCATTTCGAGAATAGAAAAACAGAGATCTATTCATAACGTTGACGATGTGACTCAATTGTGTGCATAACAATTTTATTTATTTTTTGCTTTCCTAATAGATTCCGACATAAAAATTGCAATAACCAATAATGTGGATTAATTATTGCATCACAAAGCCTTTTATGTAAATTTCATAATGTTCTAAGCATGTTTTTTTCTTTTATTTCAACCTCAACGAGTCATTAAAAAAATTATTCAATAGAGACTTTTGTAAAGTCTTTCAAATCCATCACTAAAATATAAAAAAAGTCGCTATTCTATTTACGTCAAATTGATTTTATTTTCTTGTTTATCTCTTTATGTTTTACAAATGACTACAGTTTTATCTCAAATGATGATTATGCGAACTATTTACAGTCGCTTAACAGACAAAAAAGAGCAATTTAGTGGATGTCTTAAAAGTTGAGAAATATTTCATCCTAAAGTAAGTGGCTAATATTATGCAAAAAAAACTGCGAATTTAATAAATTATGAAAGATCATAATCTACGCTTTTAAATATGCAGCACAGACTAAAAACCATCTTAACTATCAATTAAATCAAAAACCAGCTAAAGTATTTTTGAAATTCATAAATTCAGTTAATAGTTTCAGATCCCTTGTTATAAAATCAGTTACATTCCCCTTTTGGAAAACAATCAAACTTTTTACAATTTTCAAGCAAAACAAACTTTAATTTAATTATTAGACACACGTTTCTGCGGTTTAATTAATGCAGAATACAACATTGTAAAGAATATCAACTTAATCCCATCAAAAGTGGTTACAGAATTTAATTTATTGAGAGAAATTTAATAATAAGTTTCATTTTAATTAACAAGACATGTTTTTTCACAATTTAATTATTCATAACAAATCAACAGTCTTCAATATTTCTTAATTAATCCCTTATCTCGATCTAGAACCTTTAAAGCAGGCACACACTCCCATTTATCGAAAAATACCTTAGGCGTTCTCTAAAAATAAATTATTTATATAATCACTGCACCTTTACATCTTCTCTAAGATAACATAGAATATGAATTTTAAATTAAAAATAAGATTTCAAATTATTTGATTGAAACTTATGGAAAAGAGACAAATAAGACAAATGTCGTGAGTACGTGCAAATTATTTATACTGTTGAACCTTCATTAACGATCGTTATGAAGCTGTTTATGGAAAATATTGGCGTCAAAATTATCATTTTTGATTGAATTAAATTAAATTTTATTGTAAATACCTTTCTATAAGTTTTATGTTATCTTTATAGCTCTTTTACATCCCGAAAATATGTTCCATAAGAAAAAATAAAGAATGTCTTGTTTTGGTTAATGAATTTATAAATCTAGAATTTTTTTCTAATGTTGTAAAACAGATTGAAAGAGATACATATTGATGAGAATCGGTGTTAGAAATTTTTTGGGAACATTTTTTTAATGATATGTATTTATTTACCTGTAGTGATCGTATCTAATGTTCATCAAGAGAACAAATGGTTCGCGAAATCAGTAAAAATTACTATTTTATGATCAAAATAAATTCAAATCGTGCATTTGGGGCGAATAATTTAAAAAATTTCCAAAAATGGAAATCTAAAATTGCCTATAAATTACTAGTAATTAAAGATTCGGCTTAAAGTTTGCTGATTGCTGATTTTTAAATCATTTACATTTTTAATTATTTTTTTTTTAAATTTTGCAATGATCCCTTATATGACAAACTAAATTTAAACAATAGCATTATCACTAAAGGTGAAAATTGACGCACATTATGCAGGTCATAACTCAAAAATATTTTTATGGGAATCAACTTCTGTAAAGAAAATAAACTGAACATGTCTCATTATTTTTCTAGATGAAACTTCAAACAGACTGTTTTAAGAAGAAAACCCGAAATTCTACCTGAATCTACAATAATTATTGTATAAGAGAATTTAGTCTAAGAATTCAATTGTGTAAGGATTTTATGGTGCATTACTGATTGTTGTAAAGTTATTACATAGGTTAGACTCAGCAGGGCAACCTGTCGAATTGGAAAATTTCGATTCTCTGCATACAGTTTGCAGCCTCCTTCTAAAGGCTACAGGCATATCAATAATCACTTGCCTACTTATAGTACCAAAGAAATATTCTTTTTATTCTTCCGGATCAAGTCAAAAAAAATCATGTAAGGTTCAAAAAACTTATAAAAGTTAAATAAAAACGTGAGAACCCCAAAAAAATTTTGCGATCACATTACACAGACTGCTTGATTAATTTTTTCTCATCATAAATCATATTGCAAGTGACTGACCGCAAATGTTATGAATCTCAAAAGTATCGTTACAGTTTTTTTTGCTGCAATTATTTTCTGTGCTGATATTAGCTACTGTTAAGTAATTGAATGAGGTGACAAAGATGCCGTCATTGTGGCACCTTAGTGATAGAAAGTATTGCAGCGTCTAGTCTAAGTCTCAAGGCATCGATAATGGACTTTAAAATAATTGCATAAAAAATTCCAAACCTCTTTTTGAATTGATTACGTTGAAAATATTCATTTATCAAGTGCCACTCTTGATTTTTTTTCCCTGAAAATTCCCACCAATAAAAGTCGGCTCAACCAAATACAAAACTCCCAAAAAAAATTTGTAAGCAATCATAAAGGCATTAAAATACACAAAAATTTTAATGAATTTTAAATTGGTTTTCTTCTTCGAACAAAAATGTTTGATTTTCGTGTTATTCCAGCCAATAAAATAAATATGAATATGAAATTTAATCCAACACCTAAAAGCTTCTCAATAATTCCTCGCTTGAGAAATTCCATGTAAAAATCTGTGAAATCAACATGCGATTTTAAAGTCTTAATCAACTGTGAACTTTTTGTCTTCGATAATTAAATCAATAA